AACTTATAGGGTCAAGTATTTAAAAAGCAGTTGTGAGATTGAAAAAAAAAAAGGAAATAGCAGTGATTTAATCCTATAGTGAGCTCACTGATTTCAGTGAGAAGTACGAGCATGCTGAACTATTGACAAGGCACATATTACTATTGCCATACAACTTGACATGACCTAAAAACTGCCAAACACCAAACAAACCAGCATGCAGTATGCAACACCAGCACACAACTCAATGTAACCACACCTTCATTTTATGCTCCTTTTAATTTTCTATTCCAAAAATCGAATAAGAGGAAATAAACATATGATCTGAAATTTTTGCAGGTCACAACTGAGAGAAGGAATTACTATGGGCATATGGGGAGTTTAGGAAGCATTACCACCTTTAGAAATGAATGGAGATTTGATTCACCGTACTTTTCACCAGCTGGCTTCAAATGACTCATTTCCACCTTTGGTTTTGGAAGGAAGGTGGTAATTGGTTTTATCTATCTATTTTGAGACCTTCTGGGACAAATTGGGGGTAAATTCTGTTATTGGGTATTGTGTATGTTTTACACAATACTGATTGACTACAATAGGTATTATGTGGCTCAATAATTTCCCCCCAAACATCCACAAGTTATTTCACTAGAAAGCATATCTTTCTCTGTTATTTTACATACCTTTGGGATATATTTTACACTTGTTCCACATGAATAATATGCATAGGATATGACCAAATATCAACTGTCACTGTTTTTCAGTCTGTTGTGGGTTTCTGAAAGAATATATTTACCATTTGTTCTGCCTTTGACATAAGAGAATGTAGACATTTTCATCATGGGCCATAAGTCCATCCTGAAAGTTCATTTAATGGAACATATTGTGCAGCTTGTTTATATACCGATAGATGCAACATAACAAGTAGTGAGGAAAATGTAAATATATCTAAATTCTGTTCAGCAAAAAATACAAGATGATTTTACTAGGTAGTCAATCTTTTTCTAAAAAAAAAATCATTTTTAATGTCAATAGAAACCACCACCAGTATAATCACAATTCTTCCCACTGCCCTTTTCAAACATTTATATTTATTTATGCAATATAAGTCACTAATTACATGAATCAAAGAGTTCGGATACTACATTTATTTGGAGTAAAAGCCAAACTTTTGCGCCTATCTCTCGCTCTCGGTCACTATCTTTTTTATTTAATTTTATCAGATTAGGCAGGAATAATTGAGTCATTTGATCACTATCTGGAAAACACTGCCCTTTAACTCAAAAGGAGAAAGGCCAATGTTCTGACTGAGACAAACGAAGTAAAAGTTGCCAAGCCAACTTTAAAAAAGAGGCCTGACTTTGAGAAAGAGCAGAGCATCCACTTTCTGAATATTAGATCTCATTTAGCAAACAAAAGTCAGTAGACAACCAAAATCAAAGTTCATTTTTTGAAATCTTGGAATATTTTGAAACGTCATCCCTCTCCACAGTTTAAAAATGGTAAAACTGAGTTGTAGAGCGGTTATGCGACCTATTCAAAGCTACAGAGCCTGTAACACCCAACCGTTCTTAGCTCATACAACCAAACCTTATTTATAATGGTAGTAATACTGGGGTAAGATGGTATTTACCACAAATGAGGACACTATTTTGAACTCTAACCCAGCCACCATTTATGGTCCCCACTTCCTTCTGATGATATCTGAGTTCTGGTAACAGACACAAAGTTTTGAGCTACTCTATATTCATACTGGTGAGCACCTCTACACTTCAAGACCAACCCATGGCAGCAATTCTCAGTGCCTAGGGCAACTGACTTTGGCAGCTCACACTACACGACTAAAACCGACAATGTGGATATTCAGGCTCAGGCTGGAGACTGGTTCTGAGACTCAGACCCTGTGCCAGGTTTCAGAGCCCGAGATTCAGTCTGAGTCCAAACGTCACTACTACTATTTTTAGCCCCACAAAACAAGCTTAGTGAGCTTGAGTCATTTGACCTGGGTTCTGAGATTCACGGCTGCAGGTCTTTTTTCGCAGAGTAGACATACCCAAGGTCAGAATGCGGCTTACTGTGTTGAACATTAATAAGGATACCAATGAAAAAGAACGTCACTGATAGAACTAGAGTTTTATACTGTTATGAAATATTGTGAGATCCTGATCTTGATCCTCAAAGGGTTTTCTGTCCTTTATGAATCTCTTTTTTAAAGATCCTGCAGAGAATCAGGGAAGGGGCAGCAGCACATGCCTTCAATGGAATATTCAGAGCCATCCGCCTGGACCATTCACGGCTGCTCTGCACATGAGCCCCAGCGCCTGGAAGGAAAAGCATGTGGCTACAGTGAGACCCAGAGTCTTACCCTCCACCCGGCTAGAGTTATGTTCCCGGCTCTGTGGGAGGGAATGTGCATTGAGTTCGAGTAGGGAGGCTGGGGGTACCTGGCCCTGGGGGAGAGGAGGGGCATTGGGGTGGAGCAGGAGGGCTGGAGGGTGCCTGGTTCTGGGGAAGGGCAGGGACACTGGGTTAGAGCAGGGAACTGGGTGTTAAAACTTCTGGCTTCTTTCCTTTCCTGTAGGTGGGCAGTGAGTCTGTTGGTTAGATTTGGGGGTTCCCATCTCTTTGAGGACCATGGGAGCTGGTGCTTGGTGGGGTGGGCGGGGAAAGGAAGGATTCTGGGAAGCAGGATTCCTGGGTTCCTTTTCTAGCCATGCCACTTCTCCCCTCGGTGCCTTTGACTTCACCTTGATTGTACTTATATTTCAGTAAATATTGTATTGGCAATTTTTTTTTATTTGTTGAAATTGTGAAGTCAAAACAAAAAAGTAGTCACTATAATGGTCTTCTGTTGATATGTGTTTTAGTAATTAAATTGCTGAACTGTCATTGCTCAATAAAAATGCTGTCATATGGGTGGAAATTGGGTAAATATTGCACTTTATTAATATTAGCAGAACTGACTTAAATGAGGCCTCTGTGTTGTGTAGACTTGCCCTAGTCTTTGTACTGATGTCGGTCAGTATGAAAGGAGCTATTTGCATATATTTGCACAATATTTACATATATTTGCATATATATGCAACCACACTTAAGTTGCAGCCCTCAGCATGTGCTATGGGTATCATTGTGGCCCCTGGGGCTTCCAAAGTTGAGTAGCCCTGCCATATGGAGACAAGTGCAATTACCAGATCAACACACATAAGTGCCAGACTGCAATCACAAATACAGTGCAAATGAGTAATTTTCAAGGTCCTGAATTCAGATTGTGTACTCAAGAGTCAAGCACATGCATGTTTACAGGCCTGGATCCCTACTGTGCAGAGACTTTTTTAAAGTGTTTAAACTATCAGCTCTTTAGAACAAGAATTTGTTTTCCTACTTATTTGTAAAATGATTAGAAATTCATAAACATGAGGAACAGAAGAAGATAAACATTCAAATGAGCTTTTCCCCTCTAACCTGCATGCAAAAAAAGCACTGGCAGAAGTGTTGGTCAGTATGTTGGATATTCTGAAATAGATTGCCATGTTAAAGCAAAAGACATGGGTGACCTGGTGACCTGAGGCATGAGTGATTCAAGTTGCATTACAATAGGAGAGAGGAATAATTATAAAATAATTAGCATTATGTGAACTATGACATATATAATGGGTGGAAAGTGAAGATGATATCTTCAGGAAAAAAAATCTCACAAAATAAGTAAATTCTAAAAGCAACAATACTAAACGTTAATGGACCTAAAGCTAGATCTGTATTGGCATTGGTCCCATATTAAAGTTCTTAAAATACATTAAGGATCCCATATAAATATTATTTCAACATATCACTGCTCCATCTCAAAATAAAATAAGAAAACCCCAAAATTTCTGATAAGTTTTTTTTAAATTCTCCATGAACAAGCCAATGAAATAAATTCTTCCTTTTAACATGTGCATGTACTGATTTTTTGCAGACACTATCTCACCTTGGTGCTACAACCTTTACAGATGTGAAATGCCTTTGTGACCCTACATCCTCATATTTTATGGAAATATGTTTTGAATAGGAATAAGCATAACTTGAACATGCTTTATACAAAACAGATTGGGTAACCTCTATTCCATTTATGTTCAATTGTGCGTGTATCAGTCTTGTATGTTAAGTTAGAAATAACCTGCTTATTAATCTAGAATTTCTAATGAAAGCCATTAGTGGTACTTAAGAGGCTTAATGGCCCAGTGCACAAGGTAACATGTAAATGGTTTTGTTTTTCCTATAAGCCCAAACTGTGGTTGGTCTTACAAAAACATACAACCATGCCACCTGGTGCTGGAATCCATCTTGAATCTGGCATTTTTTCCATGGGGATGGGGAGAGTTAAACAAAGGATTCCTGCCTAGGAGAAGTTCCTCTCCAATCATATAATTAAAATAAAACCCAGTGGATCAGCATCAAGATCAAAATGTTACATATAGAAACCTTTCTTTCCTACAATACTAATGGCACACAGGGTTAATAAAGCTACATAAACTTTTAATATTTTTGCCTTTCACCATTCATGCTGCTTACTTAATTTCTGCACTTCACTTAGCTCTGATGGTCAGTTTCACTGACCACTTCATTTTCTTTTCCTAGTGGTATCTGACAAAAATATCTTAATCCTGCTGCATCAAACCACAGAAAAGAGGATTTGTGTCCAAAATATCCCACTAAGCACTCCTCATACTGAGGTGCATTTAGCCATCTCAGAGCAAATACAGATAAAAATTATAAACAATGGCATAGTCTTATAATTATATCATAACACTGCATGGTTTTTATGTCACTAATGTACTTCCTTCATACCTCCTCCAAAATCTTATTGCCATTACATTCCAGTGCAGCAATAATAAGGTTTTAAAACGCAGTTGTGTAATTCATATTGACTAAAAATGACCAAAAAAGACTGCATGTAAAATGACAGATTTAACAGTATACATGTCAGCATTAAGTAGTTTGTAATCAACAGTGAGTTGTATTTTTAAAGAATCATTGTAACTTACCACAGCTTGTGCTATGTCTCATCTATAGGAAATTTCTAAGAGGGGTCAACTTCATGCCTGAATTCCCATAGCTGAATCTGGCCTGCTGCTCGTACCAATTTCTAGTGTTAGCCCTAAACAGAGAAAAATAAACAAAAATAAATATCGTGCTTGAATTTTTAATTGATCCACACATAAATAATGAAGACTAAAAAATAAATGGAAGGAAAATCCTCATTAAATTAAAATTCCTACATTAACCCACCATTGTGTGTGTATGAGTTAAGATTCTTTTGTTATATCACCACAGCGAGGGGATTTCTAAGCAAACAATATGTCATAAATGTAAATATAAGTGTTATTTGTCATGTGAAGTATCATGACAATATCAATGAGCCGACTAAGGTTTAGGTAAAGTTTTCTTACCATTCATTCAGAACACATACTGAAAGTAGCTCAAAAGAAGATGGTACATATTAAGAAAACTTAAAAGACGGATGCATTAATCACAGCAGGCAAGCTTTTTAAACAATGTTATGAGCCAAATTTTACACTGACTCACATCCTATGCATTTCCACTGTCATCAATGTTTAATTAGGTATTTGGTTCCTTAGGGTGAGACCTTTGCCCCTTTTTTACTATTTGTTTGTACACCAAAAGCTGCAGTATGTGTTCTACTGTACCCATTTTGCACCCTGAAAGTGGCACAAAGAACTCCCAAAGGCAACTTGCCCGCAATGTCAAAATCATGCCAGTGTAGAGCCAACATAGCCACCCCCACCTACCCCACATCCTAGCACTATCCAGCTCAGAAGGCAATAGCCGTTAGTACTATATTAAAGGGGGAAGCAGCTTGCAGCAAATACAGCATAGTTTTGGATTAATGCCAAATCTACAACCATGTGGGGGAGGGGATATTTCTCTTGCAGGGTAGCACTGAGCTTCAGAGAACCCTTAGCAAGGGAGGCAGAGAATGGATAAAAGCAGGACCCAGTTTGTATATGTTTGTTATTCTGGTTCAACCAAGTCTCTCCCTTTTCTTCCTGCCTGTTACCTCAATGAAGAAATAAAGCAGCAAGAATAGTAGCTATCAATGATTCATTTTTTTGAAGTCATTGTTTCTACCAGGACTGCTGTGAACTAAAAATGTGACCTGGATAATGGTAGGCTTAAGTGGTTTGGAGCGCTCTCCACACTGAGCAGGACATCAAAGCCTTGCTTTGTGCACAGTGCTCATCAGAAGGATGTTTATGGTTTTTGCTATTCAGGAAGCATCTGAAGAAAGGTGCTCATTTGCATTGCATTATAGCTTAAATGTATGTTTTAAAGGTAGATTTTTTTTCTATATTTCCCAGTCATTGGATATTTAAAAAAATGTTGTACGTGTATTTATAATAGAGGACTCTGATTAATTAGAGGCCTGCTTTTGCTCCCGCTGCGGTTGAAGAGTTTTGCAACATATTGCAAAAGGATAACACAAAGGGAATTTGTGTAGCTCTTCCACTATCGTACCAAATTTATCTTTCAAAAACAGCAGCACACAACCAATATTGTGCCTTGCAATTATTGACCTATACTATGAAATCGTCAAATAATGGCTGCGGAAGTGCCAGGCATTTACAGCAAACAACACACTCATCCCTGCTGGGTTCTGCTCATAAACCGGCCCTCCAGCGCATACACACTTATCTGAACAAGAGAGACATTCTAAAATTGAGCATGCAAGCACAGTCAGCTGAAGGCAGCTAATATTTCACATTAAGTGATTTTCATGTGAATGTTTCTGGAATCATAAAGCTCCACTACAACAACAACATATTAAAACAATGGGACTCTGACAAATTATCTTGCTGTTTCAAAGCTCGTGCATGTGTGTGAATATGAGAGGGGGAGGACAGAAAATACACAATTTAATGGATTTCTGAAATCCAACCATGTCCGTGATTCACGTTTGAGTTCCCAATGGAGAAAAATTAATTGCTCTATACAACAAAAACAGGTATTTCTGTGCCACTTTTGAGTCTAGAAAGAATACTCAGCAGAAGGAAAACCAGGGAAAAGAGGGCACTCACTCCAGCATATACTATGTAGTCACTGACATGGTCTGAAGGGTCAGAGGATCAGAGTTTCCATACCCTACTTGTGTCCATGTAATCTCAGTCAAATGTGTTTGCATGTGGTAGAACATAACAGAAACAATTCCAGAATAATGTACATGAATGCTCACTCTTCCACCACCTATTTTCAAAATATTGGCCATGCATGACAGAATATCTGTCTATCATTTCAGAGAGGATCTATAATTTG